TAATATGTTTTCCTTATGTGTGAGATATATGTTTACATGATTTACCTCAAAGTCTTTGCGTATGGTGGTGGCTCTGGTTGGTTTCCTAATAGCACACCCCTGCTGAGCCTAACTTACTGTTCGAGTCAGATTTTCATTGTCAGTAATGGACAGATCTATGACTTTCCCTGCTGGTGATAGGAATGCTCTGAACACCTAGAGCAGGGGGCTTCTCTGTCTAACATGGAGCATAACGATTTTCAAGCGATCATTACAGGTGGCCCTTTCAGTTTCTACTTTTCCCATGCAGATTTCTCAAGGTGCACACAAGACCAGTTACAAAACTGGATTTTCAAAGCAAAAACTTTGGGACTCTGAAACATGGACACCGAAGACCAGAACAATGCAAAAACAGCAGGAGATCTAAAAATGAGTGGTGTCTGAGGTCAGAATCCACAAGAAAGGTTATTTTGCAGTGTATGAGAAATCTTAAAAAAAAGACATTGCAGTTATTTTGGTTAAAAGGTGTTGGTTACGGATGAAAGAAGATCAGATTATTAATTATCCTACTAATGGAGGGACATTTACAGAGCTGAGTTGTGGAGGCTCCAGGACTGAAATGGTTATTTGAAGATGTTTAGCATTTGACAGTCTGTCAAATAGTAGATATACAGCTGTAAATGTCATTTAGGGACAGTGACACATTTAATAATATTATGGTGCCAGCTAAATACATGACAGAAATGATAACATTTGGATGAATGGTGTGTGACACATGAACAGCTGACAACCGTATAGCCAACTGTTTATAAATTGCAACCACTGAACTAGGCTTTGGCCTGGACTGACTTTAACAAGGAAGGTGGTCATCTAGAAAGCTAGCTTCAGACAGGAAAGGATTGCAGAAAATTTAGGAGAAATAAACAGTCCACGAGAAGAAAGTTAAAGAGGTAACGAAGTAATATCGGAGTATGTCTAGAAGGGTAGCGTAGCAAAGCACTGAGGAGATTTTTTTCAAGAAGATGGCGTCACTGGGATAATTGCCTATGAATGGTAACTAAGAATAGGTGGGAGATGAAACCATTGGATCTATGAGGAATAATAACAAAGTACAGAAAATACTCAGCAGGCCAGCAGCATTGGTGGGGTAAAACAAAGTTAAAGTTGCAGGTGAATAACCTTTAATCAGAATCAGAAAAGGCACTTTGAAAGACCCTGAAGTCACATAACACCAGGTTATAGTCCAACAGGTTTATTTGAAATCACAAACTTTCAGAGCTCTTCTCCTTCTTCAGGTTTCAAATAAACCTGTTGGGCCATAACCTGGTGTCATGTGACCTTTGACTTTGTCCATCCCTGTCCAACACCGGCACCTCCACATCATGGCTACCATCCACACTTTAAAAGGCCTGGTATGTATTTTTGATGAGTTAAGGAGTATAGACATTTTATGACTTAAAGGTCACCTAAGCTTCTGCATTGCCTCTGTGAGTTTAATTACTAGTAACGCACTGCTGCATTGCTTCAGGTTTATTAGTAGGCCTTCAAGTATTTAAGCCAGTGACAATGATTTGGATGGAGATTAAAGTTCCATGGATTTGCATTAGTTAAAATTGAACCCAACAAGTCTCAAGTGACTTAAATCATAGTTTTCTGCATGGTAAGCAGTGGAACATAGAATGTTAAGTAAATCAGAGTGAAGGAAGCAAGAAGAAGAATCTAATCATTTTATATTTAAAATATTTTCTGAACATTCATGCTGTAAAACATTAAACTAATTTGGAACAAACCTAGTGTAATTAAATCTGGAGCTCAAAATGAAATGCAAGAACAGAGCTTTTGTTTTCTCACTCAGATACTTCACATGAGGAGCATTTTTCTAAAGTATAATTCCTCTGAATTAACTGACAATAATACATTAAATGTAATGTACAGTGTCCAAGAAAGATGAGAATGAAACACCAAAGATTGTAATTGATGGTCACCATTGCCTTGCATAAGTAGCTAGCCTGTTAGCTTCTGGTGAAATGCTGATGTACATAGTCTGGAGATAGCAAGAACTGCAGATGCTGAAGTCAGAGATAATACGGTGTGGAGCTGGAGGAGCACAGCAGGCCAGGCAGCATCAGAGGAGTAGGAAAGTTGACGTTTTGGGACAGGAGCCTTCTTCAGAAAACCACTGAGACAGAAACCATGTCAGGAGCCTATGCTGGCAGAGAGTGGTATTTTACAGATTTACCAATTAAGATGCCATCAAGAGACTCTGGCCCAATCAGAAAGTCAAGAGCGGCTGAGGCTACGGGAAGTAGGAGAGAAGGGGTCAAACTGGATTTTGTTAACTGCTGCAGGAGCAAGCAGACCCTGCTGATGGGTGGAGCGAGTGGGTCCACAGTCTATCTATGCAGCCGTAACCATTCAAAATCCCATCACTGCAGAGGCCCCTTCTTAGGCCCATGACGAGATCATAATGCAGCCTTTCCTCCACTGAGCAGTCCACTGCCTCTTGAAGTTACTGACCAATGTGGTGGCAGCATCTTTCATTTCCATTAAGATGCCATCAGAGGTAGAAAGTGACACTTAATTTGTTGAATTAGTCAGGCACTGGGGTGACTGTATCTGTGAGGTTCCTGCCACTGGTAATATTCTGTGACAATGGAAAGACATCCAGCTCCCTCAAATCCTTTAACACTATTCTTCACAACCTTCTACCAACCAGCACATTTTCCCGAGGACTAGTAGAATTCAGCCCTTAGAGCCATTCAACCCGTTAGGGTCTTCCTGGCTTTCTATAGAGAGATCCATTCAGTCCCATTCCCTTACTCTGTCTCTATGGCTCTGCCCATTTATTTCTCTCACATACCTATTCAATTTCCTTTCTATGCCTGAGGATTATTGGTAAAGACAGTGAGTACTTCTAACAAAAGTAAAGGCTTGCAGATGCTGAATATATGATTTAAAAACAAAAACTGCTGGAGACTTTCAGCAGGTCTTGTAGCATCAGCGCAGAGAAACTGAATCCCATGACTCTACATTCACAACTGTTCTAAATTCTAAGTAGTTCTGACAGATGTGTTCATCTCAGTTTTGCTGTGTCTTTGTGAATAACTTCTCAGAAAATGCTTACGAATTGTTGAGCCCTCGTCTTTTTGATATCAATGTTGATTTTTATCACTATCAACATTGATTTCTGATAGAACATCTATTGAAATTGCTCACTACTTGAGGAGCTGAATTTAGTATGAAACACAGGTTTTAGGCTTAAATAATCGTTGGAGATAAATTAATAGGGATTTTTAGTTGATTAAGGATCATGTTATTAACTTATGCTCAGTGTTAAGCAAATAGTTTACATGAAATAGGTTTACATGAAATCATCTTTTTCCTATAATGTGATTCTGGATTAATTTTAATTGTCCCCGGTCACAAATTCCTTCACCATATTGCTTAAGATAGGAAATAATTCTGGAATGTTGTTCCTGCAATATTAACAACCTTCTAGAATTTTATCCAAAAATTATCCAATTTTCCATTTGCGAGCCTAGACTTTGTACAGGGATAACATATTCAACCACTTTCAATCAAGAGGAAGTGACTGAACAGGGGCATATTAGAACTAAACTTGACACTATACCATGTCTACAAAGGAGCAATTTCTAACACAACAGTTCCGTAGTTTGAACCCCCTCTCATCCTATCTTCCCTTCTGTTGAGCACATCCAAGAAACCATTCAAGTAACTGGACAAAGAACTACTGAACCCATTCATGGACCCTATTCCACTGTATTTTGGCAAAACAAATCAGGGCAAGACTTAGACATTTAATGGTAGGGTTCTGGGGAGTGTTGCCAGACAAAGAGATCTTGGGCTGCAGGTTCATAGTTCTTTGAAAGTAGAGTCACAGGTAGACAGGGTAGTGAAGAAGGTGTTTGGTATACGCACATTTATTGGTCAGTGCAATGAATATAGGAGTGAGAGGTCATGTTGCAGCTGTACAGGACATTGGTTGGGCCACTTCTGGAATATTGCGTTCAATCCTGGTCTCCCTGCTATAGGAAAGATGTTGCAGAACTTGAAAGAGTTCAGAAAAGACTTACAAGGATGTTGCCAGGGTTGGAGTGTTTGAACTATAGGGAGAGGCTGAATAGACTGGGGCTGTTTTCCCTGGAGCTTCGGAGGCTGAGGAGTGACCTTAAAGAGATTTATAAAATCATGAGGGACATGGATAGGGTGAATAGCCAAGGTCTTTTCCCTAGGGTAGGCGAGTCCAAAACTAGAGGGCATAGGTTTAAGGTGAGAGGGGAAAGAATTAAAAAGGACTTAAGGGGCAGCGTTTTCATGCAGAGGGTGGTGCGTATATGGAATGAGCTGTCAGAGGAGATGGTGGAGGCTGGTACAATTACAACTTTTAAAATGCATCTGTTTGGATACAAAATAAGAAGGGTTTAGAGGGATATGGGCCAAATGCTGGTAAATGGCACTAGATTAGTTTTGGATATCTGGTCGGCATGGATGAGTTTGATCGAGGGTCTACTTCCATGCTGTACGACTGTATGAGTTAGGATTGGGGGATCACAACATTGGATCAGTGCTGTGACTGACTGTGCAATGCTGACTGAGATATGGGGTGAATACATTAATAAGATCTTAAATAATTTAATCTGTGCCACATTTGCAGGCAAAGGCTGGTGGTAGAAATGAGGATCAGCATGCCAAAATTGAGTACTGAAGGAACTGCACAGTGATGAGGTGGAACTGGTATTCAAATGTAATTGTGCAGAACGCACTTAAAATAATTAGCATTCAAATATATTGAGATAAAATTCAGGAAATTAATCGATCTCCATGGGTTGCAAAGAAATGTGATCAGCTCACGACAGCAGAACAGTGGAAACCATTACTACAGCAGCAAGCCTTAAAAATGGACTATTAGACTTGCCTTTTTCATATTTATAGGTTTCAATAATGTATACCTACCAGCAAGCTTCTCACTAGAATCAACAATTTCAAATTTTCTCTTCCAGCAAACACAGCTAAGGTTTTCATTGAGGTGCAAGATGAAAATGACCATGCTCCTGTTTTCACCAAGTCTCTCTACCTGGGTGGGGTGACTGAAGATGCCAAGACATTCACCACTGTGCTACAAGTTGAGGTGAGTGGGGTTGATGAAGTTGCTGCATACCTCTTTGTGGATTTTAGTGTCAGCTTTCATCACTCTGTTACTGTAAAAACCAGTAGGAATTCATACTTGTGGATGACTTGATCTAAATCTTAAACTTGTCACATTACTACATGAGCTATACAAACCAGCATTCGTACAAAATCATTTTCAGACTGTAATCGCTACAAAACACTGCACATTATTAGTCTTCGGATAAATTTTCCTAGTAGCCCTTTCACACACTCCTCTTGATCCAGCCTTTTTGTTTTTGTTTGAGATATTGAAATTATTCAGTTGCTCAATTTAAAATGTGTAAAATAGTAATTTGGTAACCCAGAACTTGAATATTACTGAGAAAGAACATTTTGTTAAAGTTAATCGCCTTCCATTCACCAGGATAATTCACAAGAGATGCCAAAGCTTTGACGAAGTGTTTTTTTTTATCAGCAATGCTCAAATGTAAATAAAATGTAGAAATGACATTTTGTACAATTTCAACTTGAATTGCAGATAATTAAGCCACTTGAAATTACAAGTAGGCTGCATATCAGCTATCAAATTATTTCAGCTGGATTTGCATCATTGCATATACCAAATACATGTTTATAAAGTCCATTGAAGCTGGAGTGCTTCATATTTTTTTTCAATTTTTACATTGGTTTACCTGCAGTTCTTTCAATTTTCCCATTTTCTAAAGAATTGGATTTAAAATGTAGCTAAGTCCAAAATATCATTACAATATTGATTTTTAGGCTGTTAGTCATCCTTAGTAGCCAAAGGTTTATTATTACAGTTAGATTTCTCTTTAGAATAATTGTTGCTTGTAAAGCCAGCATTTATTGTCCATCCCTAATTGCCCTTGAAAAATTGACAGTAATAGGAATCATTAATTCCGTTTTGAGACTTCTCTAAGTGTGAATTAACAAATCAGGCACAGAGGTCGACACAATGGAAATGCACCTAGCTGGTCGACTGCATTGCAGAAAGAAAAGAAGTTATTAAACCATTATCATTAACATGATAAGATGAAAAGTGGTGGAAACCATCATAATGACAAGGCCTATTGCTTAATTATTCAGCACATTAATCAATGGGTAAAACACATGTTTGATAATCTTAAACCACGCTAAAGTGCATGAGATAACCCTCAATGTCTTTGTTCAATACAATGCTGGAGAGTGTTGAAAAAACAACTTGTTAGTAAATTGACAAATTCTGATTGAAAGGCCAGTTTAACTCATTTGAGAAAGATAAAGGATCATGATGTGTGTTGGTTGATAGCAAGCAAGGAAGTTCATATTGTCAGAATGTCCAGAAAATGTTCGAGTTTAGATGGAGACACAGCAGACGTCCTAACAGAATAGAAAATATTTAAATGACTTAAAAGATATGGTTTCTTGATTTGAGTTTGTCCAATGCAGAAAAGCAAGCCACTGAGAATTGTTCAATAATTGGTAATGAAGGTCAACACAATTTAACACAAGACAATTAACAGTCAAAAAGCTAAAAGATCCCCAGATCAACTTGTTTGAGTTGTTGGTTGTATCCACTCCAATGGAAGTTTTCCAGAAAGATTTGCCAAACAAACCAAAGACTTATAGCATAGGACAGCTCCTGAAAGTTAGTTGTATATGTGAAGGAATCCTCATAGGTCACAAAGCTTCCAGGTCCTAAGTACAAACTTAATGGTTTATACAATCACTAGAACACCCAAATTTAGTTAGATATGTGGAACATGTATCTTTTTGCATGCACCAAGGAAATGCTGAGCTTTCAATCAGTTTTCCATCATTAACCAATCACTTAAGTGCAGTGTCCACCTACACATAGATTAAGGATCAAGCTAGATGGGATGGGACAAGACAGAATCATTAAATGATTACAGTAGGACACACACTGACATAGGTTAGTAACATGTTTCATGAAGAAAGATCGATCTTTGAGAGTATATCATGATCACAATGTCTAAACACAGCTTTGAAATGGTGCCCTTACAAGATAAACTGAGCTGAAACTAATCCCGATGAGCATTGATTATTAAACCATTATCATTAATATGACATCTGTGTTCCTATTCCCCCATGCCCCTGACATTCAGCGGGCAACTTATTTACTAAGACATTAACCCTCCCAAACATGATCAGGTAGATAGTGGATAGACCTGAGTGCCTGAATGACCTGCTTCTATTTCTGCCTGTTTTGGTAGTTTTTGTGTACTGATGTATATTCTTCCCGAAACATCTCCAGCTCTCGTTCTTCTTTTGAAACAGTCAAAATTACAACAAAATATTAAAATCACCTCTGTAACATGTCCTTTTTCAACCAAGTTTATTGTCATAATAACTCTTTCTGGTGCCCAATGCCCTATTTTATTTAATTGCACTTTAATGAAACAGCTTGGGATGTTTTGCTCCCTTAAAATGGCTGTCTCACTCTAAGTTCTTGTTATTGGGAGGTTGAAATTTTTATTGCCTAAGTGTTTCCATCTTTGGCACATTAAAGTCATTGCCCCTGTGATGTTGTGATAAGGCACTTACTGCGTACGAGGCTGTGCCAGGAGATAGTGTCGCAAACATTTGCTTATTACGTAGCAGATGCTATTCTGTTAACATCAAAGAGGCAGTGAAAAGGTTAGCACTGTATTAATTCCTTCATTGATATTCAGTTCAAGTCTGCTTTCATGGAATGCTTTTAAAAAAAATCCCTTTAAATGAACAATTAAAATCATACATCTCTGAATACATGTATCTTTCCCGATAATGGTTTGAGATTGGTGCATTTGTTTCCAAAGCAAGCACTCTTCAACTTATCTTTTGATTGAAAGTGGCTATCTTCTTGGACACAGTTCTCAGAAACCACAAAGACAACGATGGTGTCAATAGACGTGTGGCACTGTGGCTTATCCAGTGAAAGCTAGGCATCTTTTCCCATCAGCATTAAAGTGTAGCTCACAACCCTCATCATCAACTACCACTATCATCTGGAAAGATAGACTTTCCCTCATGGCTAACCTCAGTTATGGATTTGTTGTCAAAGTTACATCAACAAAATATAGACAATTGTTGTTAATAATGCACTACTTACTCCAACTGGAGCTATAGACAATAACAGCCTCTTCCCTGGAACCCTCCATAACTCAAGCACACTCATAGGCAGGAATTTTATCAGTGCAAAGCATGCTAGGCTACAGGCCAAGACCTGGAAAATGCAATCAAGAATAGTTAGGTGGTTAGTTTTGACCAATGTGGATGCAATGGGCTAAAAGGGCCTTCTTTCTGTGCTGTAGAACTCTATGACCCTGACAGTAGATATGAAAGCCAGGGGCAACTTTACCTCAGCTGCCTGTAGAACCCAGCCACGTTTTATGGCCATCCAGCTCCTAATTGGTTTCCTTTAATGGATGAATGCCCATCCCAGCAGTGGCAAAGCAATTGGAGAACGAGCAGCTCAGCTGTCTCAGCAGCACCACCAGGAGCAGTGGCCATTTATAGAACTGCACCCGAAGAGAGGAAGATTCTGGGAGTGTCAATCCTCAGTGGGCCACAGAGTGATAAATTGTGCCACTCCACCCTAGAACATGCAAATAGACAGCCAGAGCTCACTAGGTTGCCTCCCACATGGTGGCTACAAATGCTTGTGGCTGCTGAAAAAGGCAGTTAATTGACAAGTCCAGCTAAATAAACATTAACCACCCCTCCCACCTAATTGACACCCCACTGCTCCCTGTCCACTCCCAGCCCATCACCAGATGGCTGGAAAAGTCCAGTCCATACAACTCAGATCTCCCTCAAAAAAGAATGAGAATATTGATCTAAGTAGGATAATAGGTCAGCACAACATCATGGGCAGAAGGGCCTGTACTGTGCTGTACTGTTCTATGTTCTACAAAAACATTTAGAAAGAGGTCACAGACCATCCTACTTTTGAAATCAGAAAATAATGATCTAATTCTGCAAGTAAGCCATGGTACTAAGAGAGGACCTTTTATGTCCACTGGTCCAGAGCTTAACATTAATTTATTTCAATCCCAAGAAACTCCCTATTCCCAATGCAATGTAATCTTACCCATTAGTAATAATGCACCAATGTTGTCTCCACAGTAATATCTAAAAAGCTATTTAGCAACTTCATGAAAAATGCATTTTTTTTCACAAAATAAGAATAAATACTACTAAAAGAATAATATCATGCCTCGAGTAGAAAAATAATCAAAACTGGTCACATGTTTAGAAAACAGCATGTCAGTGATATTTGAGTAAATAATGTAAAATAACATATGTTTAAAACAACAGCACGAGAAAAGTCAAGAGGAATCAGAAATTGAACTTCTGAAAGACTTGAAATTCAAAGGATCAGTTTCCATTGGCTGCATTCTCCCTGCCACCTGATGTGTCCCTTATCCTATCTTAATGAGAGGATTTCTTGCAAAGATTAATCCTTACTAATTTGGCAGCAACACGAATTAAATGCACCAGGATGCAACGGATGACTGTGGTAATCTCCCAGTTCCAGAACACAATTACTTCAGTGACAGCAGGAGATAAATCAGCACTAATTTGGTCAAACAGCCTGGTTCCATAGTAGGTCACTGTCCATAACATTATTTTTGGAAATCAGTGTATAATTATTAAAAATGTTTGCATCTCATCACAGAAGATATATTAGTAAAGAGCATTTTCTGCCATAATATGATCTTCAACAGGATCTTTTGGCTGCTAATAACTATGGTAAACAGGTTCTGTTGTCCACAATACTCTATTTGTATCTTAGGCTTACGTTTAGTCTGACAAACAACCATTCGTCAGGAAGGCAAATGACCTCCCTATAAATAAAGAGATTTGTTACTCCTGGCTCTTGGGTCCTTCTTGGTCTTGTGATGAGGTGTATTTTGTCCTTTTTTGTATGAAGAAATGTTGAGACAGATATAATGAGCAGTCTGCTCAAAGCCAAAACCGGAAACAGCTTTTGAGGTCTTGTTTCTTTTAAAGTTG